CAAGTTGTTGCGCTGGTTGATTTTTGTCTTGGCCCAGTAGAAGGCTGTGCTGTTTCCTTGCTGACTCAACATCTTGGAATAACATGGAAGTCAAAACGTTTGAACTTCACTAAAAAAACAGGGTCATTGTGGGAAAACATGGAAGTCAAATCGCTTGAACTTCTTACTGAAAAAACAGAAAATTGGACGAACATTAAAATCATAGAAAAGGCGCTAGGTAACGCCTGATAATAACCACATCCAAGGCAAGACCAGAAGACTTTACACAAAGGTCAGTTGCGAATTGAATACAAACATCAGCTGACGGCTCTGCCTAAAAATCAAGAACGAACATAGAGAATTGAGATTGCAGGAACAGCCTCTAGTTGAGCCTACCAATGCGTGTCTGTCAAAGAGCTCTTCCCAGGGATTCCAATTCAACTTATTGAACAGCTCTCTAGATTCAAGTGCTTTCGCCTCATAAGCCAAGGCTTCATACTGTAACAAAGCTCGAACAGTTAATTGCAAGCGGTAAGAAGGAAAATGCTTCTCCTGCTCCACCTCTTTGCAGTCATAAGGTGATACGCTGCCCTCTGCCAAGAGCGACAAGAGAATGATGTGCACCAAATGGACAATCAACTCATATTTACCACCACGCTCACCCAAAATCGATTCTTCATCATGTAGTAGGCAAATGGTTCTGCAGCATGTCGGGCTACGTCTTGGAACCGCTCAACGACTTGGTTTTTGTAGAACAGCGACGCATACCCCAAAGCGGCTAGTCTATGCCCCGGTTCGGGAATCTTTAAATGAAGCAAATCTCCCACCTTAAACACCAGTTCACCATCTTCGAAGGTTTCGTCGAAGATGGATAAGATGGTTGGAATGTCTTCCCAGTCGCAGTGGTTCCACCTCTTCAACCTTCTTATTTTTTTGGTTGCTGTGGAGTCAAGAATCCAAACTTGGTCATCGATGCGACAGATGGCTTTTTCCCCCGATGTCGCCGTACGATGTTTCTGACCCGTCTTGCGAAGTCCTTCAAACAGATCTTCATACCTTCCTTCCTCAATCGCTGCAAACGCTCCTGGAGCGAAGGCATTATCCAAGAGTACCGGATACACGGCAACTTCCTCCGGCGATCTCTCTTCAGGGGGAAATTTTCGCACAATCCACTCTAAACACTTTCTTTTGAATTGTGGTTGATTCTGGTCGTCCATGGCCACGAGCTCCTTGATCATTGGACAGACGTCAGATGAGAGAAGGTCATAGAGAGAGGATTCGGTTTCCTTCGTCATGATGCCGTAAAGAGACCTGAAGAAGTCTTCTGGTTGATTCTTTTTGACAAGGGTGAAAAAATGGGACAGAGTGTCAGTCTTGATCTTCTTTTCCAAGGGACCCAGTTTGTTTCTGCTGCAGTAATCGAAGAAGCTTGATGAATCATAGTCCTGGAAGAAGTCAAGTTCCCTATCCTCGAGCGCCTCAACGGAGACGTCTGAATCTTTGTCAGCAAACGGCGTTCGAAGTCTTTCCATATCTTTTTGTATTGATTCCCTTATCTCACTCCTCGCGCGTAACTCATCATCAGACATCGAGCAAACCTGATTCGAAATAAAAATAGTCCTAAATGGGGGGGATTCATCATACTTTCTCAACAAAACTTTTGGTCTCGTCTTTATCGTTAGGCCCGCAAGACTCCTCATCATGTTCGCAAGACTCCTCATCATGTTTGGAGTCGTCATCGTTGTCATCATTATCCGTCGACTTGCGCCCGTCTTCGTCTAAAGACTCGCACTCGTCACTTCCAGGATACTCTTCAAAATCGGGCCTCCTAGATGGATCACTCGCAATTAGCTCTTTTCCTAAAAGTCTTTTCTCGATTTGGCCGGAAAGGAAAGCTTGACATTCCCATAGGGCAAGATAGTCCCGCACCGAACACCAATCCGGCATCAATGAACATTGACGTTTCACCATTTATTGAAGGACGAATCTTTTTTGCGAATCGATAGGCGATGAGTTACCACACACCATTCGATGCATCAAATAGGATGTACAGCATTAATTACCTCAGCTCCAAGAGTAATGAGGTTCTTCCAGAAATGAATATAGACGTGTTCGCCATCCATTAAACGGGTATCGTCATAAAGATTGTCGAGATCTAGTTTTTCTAGAATCTCATCTATCAGTTCAGCGGGGCATTCTGAAGAAAACAAGAGATAACGAGATAAGTCATCATTGACAATACATATGGAGAGATGTAGATGAGACATCACCTGGTGACGCTAGTCCCAAAGCAAGAAGGCGAAAGAATCTATCGAGTTTTCTTCGACCCTCCATCCGTTATACGCTACTTCAGAGCGACACACAATCAATCCATCAGCAGTGTTTTCCTCGAACATCTCTATTGAACCCCGGCATTCAGTAAAATGGCCAGCTGCAACTTCAAGCAACGCAAGGTCGAAGAATGGAAGAAGTCTTGGAACGACATTAATGAAGGCCAGAAATTTCGATGGTCATAGCAATCCCATAACCGTTCCAAACTGTCCTTCGCTTCTTTCAAAGAATCACTAAAGCGGAAGAAAAGTCTGGATATGGTCGACAGATTGTTCCGGACAAGCAGAATATGCCTTGCTGACGAGCATCGGATTGACGACAACATGCAACTAGAACAATTGAACTATGGAAATACTTTGATAAGAACATATAGCTTCAGTAACAATAGTCTGGTCATCTTACGCTGCGAGCCAGCTGTTGACGTCCGCTAGAGCTTCTGGTGAAAAGATTCTAGAAGACGCAAGAGGCCATTTTGAAACCGGATCATCTTGTGGTAGACGTAAAATCTGATAGTAGAAAACACTTCGATCACGAGACTCGCTCAAATCGTCTTTCGCTGGTGCTTCCCATTTCTCCATGAATCAACGTCGCGCCCCCAGTTTGTCTGAGAATCGCGCAAACCTGAACTAATTAACATCCATCGTACTTCATATCGTTGAGAATGAATCGCCGTGAACCTTTTTTTGCAATAGGCATTTGCGGAGAGTTGATGATACCAATCATCAGAGAGCGGTTGATTTGCCAAGAAGTCTTCAAATATGATCTTAAAGACGGAGGAGGACGCAGCATCCCCAACCTGTTGCACATAATCTGCAAAAGTACTCATCAACCATGGAAGGCAGTTTTGAGATTTTGATGGGGCGTGACAGTAAGAAGCGCATGCGCGACGACAGTCCCCCTCTTGAATCGCCGCAGAATCACCGCACACCCAACACAAAAAGGGGCAGAACTTGCGGCTCGTTTCGACAACACGACGCCTGACCAGCTAGACTCGGTGAAAGCTGTAGTGGCGGTAAAAGTGGCGGTAAAAGGAGTGGCGGTAAAAGGAGTAGTGGCGGTAAAAGGAGTAGTGGCGGTAAAAGGAGTAGTGGCGGTAAAAGGAGTAGTGGCGGTAAAAGGAGTAGTGGCGGTAAAAGGAGTAGTGGCGGTAAAAGGAGTAGTGGCGGTAAAAGGAGTAGTGGCGGTAAAAGGAGTAGTGGCGGTAAAAGGAGTAGTGGCGGTAAAAGGAGTAGTGGCGGTAAAAGGAGTAGTGGCGGTAAAAGGGGTAGTGGCGGTAAAAGGAGTAGTGGCGGTAAAAGGAGTAGTGGCGGTAAAAGGAGTAGTGGCGGTAAAAGGAGTAGTGGCGGTAAAAGGAGTAGTGGCGGTAAAAGGAGTCGGCACGGATATGCCACGAAGAAAAGGAAACCGACCCTAACTGGAAATAGAAGCCTTCGATGGGCGCGTGACGTGCTGGCAATCGACTTTGCGCAGGATAGGAAGTTTGTTAACGGTGGACGCCGATGTGGGAACAGAAGCGACGCAAGTACGTCGAAGCAGTATTTTGGCCGGTTTGTGATTTAGAACACCTGGTGGAGGCATGAGAATCTGTCAGTATGTGTGAAAATTTAAGAGAGAAGGGTCTATTGTGCTTTGAAAACAGATCAGGAGTAACGCGTTTTTGTTTGTGGATCCTGACTCTCGTCCTTGGATCCAGTCTGCTATCTGCTATTTCTGGGAAGATCAGGTCAGCTTCAGAACCACCGACGATTGCGTGTTAAGCAGACAGCCACTGTGGAATTGAACTGCTCATCTGAGTCACAGGACGAAATAATCAGAAAATGGTTGACCGATGACGATGTTGGAAACTGTGTACCGCAGGTGTAACTTATTGAGGCAACTGGTGAACGTTAAGTACAATCAACTTAAAGAAGACCACTGGTTTGCTCAATAGTTGAAATCTGTAGGAAGTTGACATTTGGGGTCAACAAATCTGTAGGAAGTTGACATTTGGGGTCAACAAATCTGTAGGAAGTTGACATTTGGGTCAACGGCCATAATTCCACCAGAAGAGAAGGCCTCTAACATTGAAAACTTCACCAGGACATTCTCTCATATTGCTTGATCAGCTTGTGGTATGGAAGTTGAAAATCCCTAAGGAGTGTGTTTACCTGCGGAATGAACTAGCCATGGAAATGGAGCACAATTTCAACTACGAGCGTTTTAACTACGACCCCGTGATCATTACTCATGTTCCTACACCCACAAGAAGTGTTATTCCATGCTGGAGTATTCCAGGCATTGCGCCTGCTTGATCTATTTTCTCAAAGTAACAGCTCTGCGTACTCAATGGTTTTACCCATTAAGTGCGCCAGATTAGCCAATGCCAACAAATGCGCTCTAATCGAGGCAACCCGTTTGCATTTGCACAATTTCAAAGAGCGTTTTAATGCAACAACTTTAATATACTCTATTGGAGCTGGAATGTGGCGTTCAATCGACTACGTCTCCAAATTTCACATGACATGCCTCACTTAGTATCTTACAAACTTGTCGCCCATGCAGATCCTTGCGTGAAGGTGATATAGAAGTGAAAGATGAAAGTTGTGAGGACATGGATGAATAATTTCTGAAGAATCAGGCCTGAGAATCCTGAGAGATTCAGGTCGGATTCGCCAGTAGTCACGCGTTGTTGTGACTGTTCCAATTTTGGGATGGCAGACTTCCAAGCAATCTTAAAGGATGCGATTGCAAATGAAGGCTGCGATGATGACACCATTGCTTACATGGCTGGTAAGACGAGAAAAATGGTAAGAAGAATAAGAAATCATTTCCCAGGAATGTTGGAAGAAGAGAGCTCCGCGCTTGATGAAGCCCTTCTCATTGAGCTGATAGGCCCATTCCTATCAGAATTAGAAGTAGATGTCTCTCAAGTTTGTGCGAAGATAGCAGCGCGTTTGAGTCAGGAAAATGGCAATCTATCGTCATCGACCGCAACATCGACGCCATCGAGGCCAAACACAACAAATGGAGAGCCATTAATACGGAAGCCGTTCAATGCTGGAAGCTTCCTCAATGACGCGCAGTCTGGATTTATTGATCCGTATTTGGGACTGCAGGTGAGTTGAAGGGGTTGATCTTCTGATATGAAAAATGAGGATTGATTTCATCGTTTTCTATCAGAAAGTGAACGTGAACTTCAACGCTCAAATCCCGATTGCAGAGGCGATGAAATTACAAGCAGCTCTTCAAAAAGAAAGAGAAAAACAATTGCGACTGATGCGAGAATGGGAAAAAACAAAACTCCCGTTGCCGAAGCCATTGAAGCAACACGGAGATAAAGAGCGACAGAAAGTCACCGACATTATTGTTAATTCATTCAGCGTTTCAGTTGCGGGACGTGAATTGTTGAAGGATGCTTCTTTGAAAATCGTTATTGGCAGGAAATATGGACTTATTGGAAGGTCTGTATAGAAAGAATGAATGAGACTGTATAGTAAACACAATAAGAGTAAATAATATGAAGTGTATGATTTCACAATAAGAGTATATAATAGAAAGCGTATGATTTGTACACAATTGTATGAACGACGTTGGATTGTGCATCTCTCAGGAATGGTATCGGAAAGTCGACATTTATCTGTGCACTAGTGCGACATGAACTTCCTGGCATTCCTAAAGATTTGACGATTGGCTGCGTTGAGCAAGAAATTTCTGAAGAAGATTTAAATGAAAGAGCGATAGACGCCGTACTGTCTGTTGATAAAGAACGTAGCGATCTCCTAGAAGATGAGAAGAAAATTCTTGAGAAGCCTCAGGTTAGCAACATCATCCATCTTGAGGCTTCAGCTTTGATGCCTTGGGATAGAGTGGTCGCGTCGGTCCATGAAGAGAAGCTTTCTTTCTTTTTCAGACTGACGAAAATGGAAAACTTCTTGCAAAAATTTACTCTCGATTGGAGGAAATTGACGCACACGCCGCTGAATCCGAGGGGGCTTCAATTCTTGCAGGTCTTGGATTTTCTGTTGAAATGCAAAAGATGAAAATTCGTGAATTGTCGGGAGGATGGAGAATGCGTGTTGCGTTGGCCAGAGCGTTATTTTCGACTCCAGACATTTTGTGTCTCGATGAACCGACGAATCATTTGGACCTCCACGCAGTCGCTTGGTTGACGGACCATCTGCAATCATGGAAAACGACATGCATCATTGTCTCCCATGCAAGAAGTTTCCTGAATGATGTTTGCACGGACATCATGGATTTCCGTGATCAGGTGAGCATTGATTGTAACATTCAGATAGTTAATTATGCATCAATCATTTTGCCATTTTATTTTGTTTACATGGATTTTCTGTTCTCTTGATTAGAAATTGAAGTACTACCGTGGAGATTATGATACTTATGAGCGTGTCAAAACTGAAGCAGATCGTCTTCAACAGCGACAGTTTGAAGCTCAGCAAATGAAACGAGAACATGTTCAGAAATTCATCGATCGATTCAGAGCGAAGGCCGCAAGGTAAGAAATAGAGCAAATAATTAAAGCGCATGCTCTGAATGAGTGGAAGTGCATGAATTAGTGGGAGTGCATTCTGCGGGATATGGAAATGTCAACTGGAAAGAATCTTGATAGTTATGAGAGTCTCTTCAAACATAAATGCCTGTCATTAGAATTATAACGAATGTCGGAGGGAATATGTTAAACTGAATCCCTCGAAGTGTTGGGATATCAATCTGTTTTACTTTCAGGGCTGCTCTCGTTCAATCTCGAATTAAAGCATTAGAAAAGCTTCCTAATCTCGAAGCTGTGTCCCAAGACCCAGCACTGTCATTCAAATTCAGCGTTCCTGAAGAATTGCCCACGCCTGTCCTTCAATTGGACGAAGCGTGGTTCTCTTATAGAGCCCTTAAGGATCGCGCACCTGCTCCCGATTCCGACGACTGGATTCTTAAGAATGTCGATTTGTCCGTCGATCTCCAAAGCCGTATTGCAGTACGTCACTACAAAATACGTCGTTTCTCACTTTCCGACTTCTCAGATTTGCGGCGTGAATGGGTGTGGAAAATCCACTCTGTTGAAGCTTCTATCGGGAGCTAACGATCCACAACGTGGATTTTGCCGTCGAGCCAACAAACTACGGGTTGGGATTTTCAGCCAATATCACGTGGAACAGTTGGATCTGACGTTGAATTCAGTGCAGCAAATACAAGTCAAGTGAGGCGTTTGATCCAATGCCATTCAGTTTGTTATTGTTTGTCCATCGCGTCATTTTTCAATCCAATGCCATTCAGTTTGTTATTGTTTGTCCATCATTTTTCAATTTTAGATTTCCAGAGTCCAACATGAAGGATGAAGAAGTTCGCAATTATCTCGGCCGTTTCGGCATCAGCGGTCTTCTTGCACTGGAACCCTTGTACGTGCTCTCTGGGGGTCAGAAATCTCGAGTCGCAATTGCTCTGCTCGCGTTCACAAATCCCCATATCCTGGTAAGTCGTCTTTCAAATGAAATTCTCCCTTCAGCGACTTCATTCTTAGATTCTGGATGAACCAACAAATCACTTAGATCTCGATGCAGTCTCCGCCTTGATCGCAGCTCTGAATGAATTCGAAGGAGGAGTTGTTGTCGTTAGTCATGACACGCATCTCATATCCTGCGTGGCTGATGAAATCTACCATGTTGATCCCGCTCAACATACAGTCACGCAATACAAAGACACCATCGAGCAATATAGGAAAGATTTATTGAAACGAAAGCTTTGATGTGTTTTTTCGTTGTTTTTCTTCGTTGACTGTTCGAACCATGAGAATTTCAAAATGCAGGCCCCCAATCAATCAGACAAAGGAAGTGATTCAGAATGCGCTGCGAGGGGCTGGAGAGAACTATGTGCCTCGGTTCATCAGTCATCTCTCGCCGCTCCACCAGTTATCGATAGTAGAAGCGGCAAGACAGTCAAAGCTTAAACCAAATCCAATCTCATGGGCCGACGATCACAAATCACGAAACATCCATCTTCCTTTCGTCACATCGCGAACTCTAGCTGCGATTGTTTATGTTCAAAAATTTCGAACGTTTGCGTCACAATTGTGTTCACATTTTGTGTGTGATGAGCCATCAGTGGTAAGCTATTGAACAATTTTATGACTGAAATAATGTGATCTCCCACGATAAAGTATGATCTCATTATGTCATATGGGACATTCACCATGATACATGCTGTGTATGTTATCTGTCATCATGATTTGATCTCTCATCATTGCAGATCCATGACCAATTGATTTTGAGGTTCTCGCAACTCCCGTTTGATTCATTCCTCGTTGATCAAGATGCAGTTCTTGTTCTACAATTTTTATTACAAGGAAGTTGTCCAACATTCATCAAATCGAAGTATGTTCAATTACCGCACAATCATGAAGACAAACAAGTCGTTCGAGCTGTTAAAAGACTTCGAGCGACGCTCAATGTTTCAGAGCGGAAGGCTTGTTCGCAATGCCCTCAACGAGTGATTTGTTCGTGGTGCCAGGCTGGAGTGACCGCTAAGCCAAAGCTTGTTCATGTTATCCATTTACTCTGCGGAATGCATCTGACATGCCTCAGCTATCTGAGGGCACCTGAACTTCGGTTGCACTACAGTCCATTCGAAATGCAAGGATATTTGAGGTTGATCGATGCATTCCAAAAACGGATTGAGGAAAACTATCCCCAAATGTTGAACAAGGTGAATGAAATCTGGGGGGACCACGGAAAGCAGGGACAACGGAAAGCAGGGACAACGGAAAGCAGGGACAACGGAAAGCAGGGAATCTGTTTTGGGGGGCAATTAAGCTCCGAAATAGAAAAGCAAAATCATTTTGATTTGCAGAAACGGGAGCAAGAAGTTTTAAGTCCCAAATCCATACAAAAGATCGATCGTGAAAATGAAAGAAATCGAGCCTTTAAGGCTCAACGCGATGAAAACGGTGCGGTAGGTTGAAAAAAACCATTGAATGGATTGGCGAATGAATGTGATGCAGATTCTGAATATTCCCTCTTGGATGAGACCGTCCCTTGATATCAATGACGATAGAAAGTTAACATGGAAAGAAAGGCAAGCGACTCGAAATCGATCCTCACCCAAGAGCATAATTTAACGAGTGATTGATCCGAATTGTTGGCCAACTGTCTCTCTTCACTTTAGGCGAAGTTTGAAGCTCTTTCGTCAACTTCAGGCGGAAGAATCGACGCCAGAAGGATTTATCGATGAGGAAACTGGATCGATTATCGCGAATGAAAAGAGCGCTGAAAAAGAATTTATAACGATGCCAGCGTCACGTCTGAGACGCAAAGGGAAGAGGAGAAAGGAAGAAGGGGACGAAGACGGATTTGTTTGGATTCCTGAACCAGATCCCACGAAAACAGAATTCGGAGAACCAATTTCGAACATGCGTCGATCAGGGGATGCTGACACTACAGATCTAGAATCAATGAGGGAAGAAGCCATAAAGGAAAGTCAAAGAGAAAGGGGCGAGGAGGGAAGTTCAGAGCAGCATCGAACAATCATTGATATAGACGAAGAAGAGATGGAACAGCCTGAAAAGGAACAAGATGTTACAAAAAGATTCGATTATTTGATGGATTTCAAAGGAGATGTTCGTGGAAGCTCATCGATACAACAAGCACTATATCAAAACTATTTGAAGTAAGAGTGATTTTGCAGCTGAGACATAATCTGATGTGATTCTCACGCCATTTGCACATGTCATTTGATAATGCTTGGGTATTGCCCTCAGAAGAACAGTTCCGATAGACGCAAGTTCCTCTTAAATCTTTATTTCATTTTTTTGTTTTAGAGCAATTAGAGCTTCGGTGGACGATGCAGGTGATGAAGAAACAATCAGTTTTGAACCGAACACAATGAAAACAGATCGAAAGGGAGATTTATCCGAACTGACGACTGCATTAAAGAATGAGGATTGTATGAGAATGCTTCACGTAAGGATCCCAACTTGTTATCCCATATGAATCAAGGATCCATTTGGATCAAGGATCCCAACTTGTTATCCCATATGAATCAAGGATCCATTTGGATCAAGGATCCCAATTTGTTGACCCATATCCAATCCGTCTTGCTCAGACGGCAGAAAGCCAACTGGAAGCTTTTCCCCTGGAAGAGGAAGGATATTTGGCAACGCCCCTTCAAGAAACGGTAAGAAATCGAATAACAGCCAGAGATGATTTGTTTGTTTTTCAGAAAGGTTCTCGACGATTCGAACAAGCAGGAGAAAGGAAGTAAGATCAGCCCTTAAATTCGAATGCTCATTTTTTGAATGAAGGAAAAAGCGAACAAGTTTTATTTCGCAAATTTGGGATAAAGCAGCAAATAATGATGAGATTCGAACAATACGAAAATTTGAGCTTGATTATCCAAATCAGGTGAGTTGCGAGTAAAACAACTTGGAGTAGAAGAATACTATAATTTGGGAGGATTGGGTTGTTTGAGAATTTAAGCGCGATCTCCCTCCATTGTTGACAGAAACTATTAAAATGCTCAAAACTCATAATTCGCATGTATGAGTGATTTAACGCCCTTTCATTTTAGAGTTCTTCTGGAGTCTCAATGTCGAAATCCACCGGTCAGAAGCAAACTGAGTCACTGAAGAGAATTGGACATTCTGAAACAAGACCAAACCAGTTAAGCAGTGGACATCGTCGCAATGCGAATGCTAGTCGGGGTTCGGATGCGACGAACATCAAGGATTGGCCAAATACTAGAGAAGAGACTTCAAAGGGATGGAAACAGATGGATTCGAAAAATTTATCTAGAGTCGAAAAAAGTGAAAAGCCCAGAATCAGCGACGATGTCTCAACCCATGGATTGGATGATGATAATGTGTCTGTTGATGAATTACGCCATCTAGAAAAAGCAATAAGAATAAACCAACAAATATCGAAAAATGAGGCCTTTGTTGAGGAAAATGCAGAAATAGAAGAGCGGATTGGGAAGCTCTATGGAGTGACTCCTGGAGAAGAACCGGCAGAGGTGATTGATAACGGATTTCTCTATTTCAGTCGACTCCACGGTGTGTTGCTCCCATGCTTCAGGGAACAGGATATCAGGGGTCCCGAAGGCGAAGGGTGGCTGCATCAGTTTCCAAGGCTGCTCTATTGAGAAACGATGCAGCAAGCGAAGAGAGATTCCAGTTGTGGAAAACCCGCAACAAACGAGACAAAGAACAGGAGTTCAGGACTGACGAAATTGGAGAAGATCGGGAGCTTAGAAATAAGACTAGCTTCAATAAGGGAAATTGGAGAAAACCGAGGGCTTAGAAATAAGACTAGCTTCAATAAGGAAATTGGAGAAGATCGGGAGCTTAGAAATAAGACTAGCTTCAATAAGGAAATTGGAGAAGATCGGGAGCTTAGAAATAAGACTAGCTTCAATAAGGAAATTGGAGAAGACCGAGGGCTTAGAAATAAGACTAGCTTTAATAAGGAAATTGCAGAAGACCGAGGGCTTAGAAATAAGACTAGCTTCAATAAGGAAATTGCAGAAGACCAGGAGCTTAGAAAAGGAGAAAAAGCCAGGGAGTTTAAGACTAGCTTCAATAAGGAAATTGGAGAAAACCGGGAGATTAGGAAAGGAGGAAAAGACAGGGAGCTTAGGGTGCGAAGGCATTTTGATGGACATGAAGTTGGAAGGCTCTTTGATGAAAGCGCAACTCATGGGGGAATAAAATACGCCGACGGTCGTTCAACCACCGCTAGAGATCCTGCATTCGAAGAGACATTCAGACAAGGTCTTCAATCAAGGACTCCAGTAGGTTAAATTGATTGAGCACTGATGATGACTTTCTATCCTTATAGCGTTTGAGGAAGTTTGAATCATCAAGACTGGAAACATCATCAGGATCATCGTCAAGGATTGGATCATCCTCGATGCGACAGGATGAGATAAAAATGAATAAAGAATACAATTTTGAACAGAAAGCTTCCGGATGGGCTTCTATTGAAAAGAAGACAAATGTTCCGGTTAAAGAAAAAGAAATCAAATGGATTACCATTGGAAAGAAACCAAATGAGAAGTCAAAAGTTGAACCAACTTTGTTGGTAAAAGATAAAATACAACAGGAGAGGAGACCTTTAACTTCAAATCAACTGCAAGAACGAGTTTCAAAAATTAATACATTTTTTTTCAAGATAGAAAGCTCAAATTTTTCGTTCCTTTTTTGTTGATACACAATTGGGCCTTCTGTCTTTTTCCTACTGAATCTCTTCTTGGACTTCTAAATGTCGGCAGCTTCTTGTATTCTTCCATTTGGGTGGATTTCTCGATTCTTGCAAAGAGTCATTTCCTTTGCATGTTGCATCATCTCTGCATCAACGTCATCAGTGTTGATATTGCTACCTTCATTTCTCAAAAATTCAAATCCCAAATGTTCAAGTCCCAAAAGTCCACATCCGAAATGTTCAACTCCCCCAGTGTTGGAAGACATTCCAAAACAACGCCACAGAAAATTAAAATTGAATAAAAGAAAGAAAATCCGTCTTTCTCGCAAATCAAACAATGTCCCAAATTCGTATCCACATCATCCCGATTTCTTACACTCGCGTCCGGTCGATTACGAGGTGGATGGAAGCGCAGTTTCTGTTATCAACCATTTGATGCGCCAAATCATCCGCGATGAACTCAATCGATCGACTCTCGAGACTCACTCAGTGAAGTCCCTAGAAGGTTCTCCACAGATCAATCAAGTCGTTCGACCAATCCAGTCGCTTCCGACTC